TWWAAAAAGATTTCATGCTGCTGAGATGAACAGTTGTTGAGAAATTTTCCATGTGAATTAACAGGAAGTGATGTCAAAGGGGAATCTCTGCATGTGAACAGAGTGTTGCTAAAATGGCTAACAACACAGACTGTAGAGAAGAATCTGATGTTTATTTAGATCCTTTTAATCACTATCATAGAAAGATGAGAAAGAGTTGTAGTTCAAATAATACTGTTTCAATAAACAAAGACCATGGAGTTTTCTTTCTCAAATAGTTCCCCTTTGATGTCACTTCCTGTTTCATTATAGCTGAGCCAAGTTCAAAAGAAAATGAGCCATTTGTGAGACATAACGGGTAAAATCATGTGTATTATGGCAAGTTTCTTAAATATGAATATATTTTCTTGACTTTTTGTATTTCACGGATATGCATGTCACGGGCACTTTAAGTTTTATTTATGATAAAATGTTTTTGTTTTAAATGTATCATTTTAGGATCGGCAGATTCAGAAACATTTGGTGAGGGTTGTCATCAATTTACTGAAATTATTGTTATGATTAAAAAAATGTGATACAAAATTGATTGCTTGTGATTTATTATGTGGTAACACAATAAATCCTGTGTTGTGTGGCTGGTTAAGTTGAACCAGAACACCAAGGTGTGCGTTAAAATAAAACACACTTGGACAGTTAAAGATCATTTTAAACCCAAGTCTTCTACTGGAACCCTCGAGCTCCCCTAGCTCCCGGGGCTAAACTCTTCTGAACAGAGAGATCTGAGGTTGTTCTTGGGATCTGTTGGAACTACTCTCCCAGATTGCTCTGATGACCACTGGCACCACTGAGGCCGACTCTCCACAACTTCTTTATTTCCTCTTTCAGCCCTCAGTCTTGCTCAGGCTTCTCCCTGACGTTAAAGTCACTTGGGAATGCCACATCTCTCACCGCTGCCTCTGTCTGTAGCTTGTCGACCATCACAATGTTCGCTTGTTTAGCCATCAACTGTTTGTCAGTCTGGATCTGGAAGGCTTAGCTCTGACATTCTCTTTTTGTTCCTGAAAAGCATACTTTCAAAACACGACCTAACCGCTCACCTTAAAGCAGTGAAAACAAAAATCCTATTTCATAAGTCATGATGAACAGAAATCAGTTCTCACATGAAAAGTTACATGTGAATAATAAATATTTTGCTGAAGGCTATGCTGGGTTTTCAGAATGCCACATAGAAGCGAATGTTGCAAAGTTCTGTGAGTAAATCGTTCAAAAGGAAAATGATTAAGCAAAGCAATGTTTCTTCATTACTGCAGAAGAAGCGTTAAAGACAGAAGGTTAACTAGAGAGGTGAAGAGCATCATCAACATTCAAGGATAGTGGTCCTATTAAAAATGCTTTTTTAACTTTTGTGAAGCCAGAGATGTTTGAAAAAAAAAAAGAAGAAATCCTGCTAACTGTATCATTTTCAAAAGCCCATCACTGCACACAGTACATGTGTGTGTGGGGGGGGTGGTGGG